AAAACTTCAACACTTTAATAAACCCTCATATTTTCGAATATGATATTTAAGTTCGTTTAATCTCATTTCTTTTATGTCACAACATGACTTAACATACTTTCATGCCAATATATGCCAAAACACAAGTCAGAGCTAATTGTTCATAATTAACATATAAAGACTACACAATGTCATCTTTTCTAAGCCAAACCAATAACTTAGTTTATTCGACTATAACATGCCCAATATGCACTCCACATCATTAGAATCATATTGATTACATTTTCAACATGTTTTCCCATTGTAGGGTTGAATCATACCCTAGGGGTTCCATCAATTTTCCATGCTTACCAATGGTTATCAACTAGTTAATTTTACATTACATTATCCATGATTAGCAATTAGCATACTTATCAAATGAGACAACTTTCCACACCTATGTTTAAAGGCACGGCCAAACGGTAACTTAAAGGCTCACCATGGTTCAAATGACTTGTCAATTAACCTACTTACATAACCTACTCAATAAGTCATAAACATCACCTAAACCATGATCAAACACATTCTCAAATGATTTTTGCTTCAAAGGGCCGAAAATGCACCTATAGGGAGTCTATGGGATTTTATGCTTTCCATTGTTTATACTTGCATCCATGGTAAATTACATCAATCAATATACACTAACCATTATCAAAGCAAAGCTAACAAGCTTTCAACATGCCCTTTTTTCACTACATGGCCGAAAATGGTACAATAAGGTTCTTCCAAATTTTTACATGCTTTCAAGTTTAACTAATTAATCCATTCAACACCAACATATCTAAAGAGTCATAAGCATCATTGAAACAACATTGAACACATTTCAAGCATGCTTTCCTCTTCATGGTCGAAAATAGGTTAGGAAACTCATGCAAATTTACCAACTCCATATAGCCACTACATGGTTCAATCAACTATATAGTGATCAACGATCCATAATCCACATCTATTCAAAATTACACAACATTCCTACATACTCTTCCTTCACATGGCCAAAAATTAACAAGAGGGTTCTTGCAATTTTTTCCATGCTTTCTTGACTTCTAATTGATTTAGTCAACCCACAAATATCAATATACATATTTCATCATCAAAACATACTACCATTCATACTCTGTCAACATACAAAATTCCAACAATATTTTCATGAAAACCTAAGCTTAAATTCAAGGATTCAACCATTACAAATGGAGTTTCTTACCTTGGATAAGTCCTACACCAACCAAATGTTAATCTTCAAGCTTAAATCATAGAAAAACATCATTTTTTCTTCAGCCATGAACAGTACACGAAAATGGAAAGGAGAGGAGATCTCTTGATTCAATGCTTCCCAAAGAGAAAAGAGACTAAGGTTTTCTTCCTAAAGAGTTAAGCTACAATTTTGGTCCAAAGGGCTATGTGTTTTAATGGATGGACGATCAAGTTCAAGCTTCAAGTTTTTCTCTCATGGAAGTCTCTCACTCTCTCGGTTTAGGGCTGCACATACGAAGGGGAGAAGAAAACTTGTAGAAATATTTAAGAGAGACCCGTGTATCATTTTAAAGGACGTAAAATTGTGTCATTTTAAGAAAGAGAAAGAGATAGATAAAGGAGGAGAGAAAGTTGACAAAAAAAATAAATGTGTGGGTCCCATCTCTTTGTAAGAGTGAAAGAATATAAGTTGTGTCATTTAAAATGATAAACATTTTTCCTAATATTTAATGATCTAGTCATAAAAGGTGGTGTTTTGACATAGTCAAACTTTATAAGTTTTAGAATTTGCTAAGTATTCCTTGGAATTTAGGTGACGTTTGGTAGATGATAATTTTTTTTTTATCCGAAAATTTCAATTTTCAGAAATATAATTTTTACATTCAGTTTATGATAATATTCGAAAATTAAGAATTTAAAAAAATTCAATTTTCCGAAAATCCTAGAGAATACCGCGTACCAAACACATCCAGTCACTTAGCTTAGCTTCTATGATGAATCAACACTTGTAAATTATATTTTGAACCCAATATATAAATTCCCCGAATAATCTTATTATGACATCATAATTGAGTTTAGGCCAAGTTTTGCAAAATTATAATTTAGTTCCTAAACTTTATTATAATTGTACTTTGATTCCTATAATTTATCATAATTATATTTTTGATCCTAAATGATTTGCTTGATATGCATTGGACTTATTTTCATGATAATCTCATTTATCTCACTAAACCACAATTAATTCCATGATTAATTCGTAATTAGGCTGTTTACTAATGTGAGTTATTATAGATATAAGGTTGGTTCACTTATTATGATTTGTCACTTTAAGGTTTCATATGATCTTTGCACAATTCAGATTTAAACTTCAAAGTTATTTTGAACAAAAGAGTCCAATTAGGAGTTGTAATCAAATCGAATTAATCAAGTAATCGATATATCGGTGGAAAAAATAATAATTTATATCCTTATTGAATAAGATGACATATTAACACATTTTCTTATACAGATCTTATTACTAAATGAAGACTTTCAATATATAAATTTAGAGAAAAATATTTCTGCAATTAATGTAGATAAGTTATCTGCATTTACTTTTAAAATGATGTCGTTTTGGGATTGAAATATTAAAAAATTAATTTATAAAGACTATAATAACCCTGAAATAAATTAAAATTACAAAAATACCATGATTTCTGCCTCAAAACGACGTCGTATTGGGTTTACTACAGATAAGTTATATGCTGTAACTGCAAAAAAAATGAACCTATAAATTTATAATTCATTTTTCAAACTTTAAACTATTAATACATAGCAATTAAAAGATGAATATTCCTTTTACTTTTATCCTAGGATGAACGGACACTGACACGGGACACGACAAGACACGACACGCCGACACGTTAATTCTAAAAAATGGCATATTTTGACACGTTGGGACATGTTTTGATATTAAATAATATTTTTAATATATAATATTATTTATATTTAATAGATATAAGAGTCCATAATAAGTCATATAACCAATCAAATATTCAAATTTCATAACATAAATATAAACAAAAATAATTTTTCGTACCTTGTTAATTTTTCATGTCAAATTTCATAACAGAAAGCAATTGATTTATAAATGATTTTTTTGTTTTTAGTTAATAAAATAAAATTAAGACTTAAAAACAAAACGTGTTTGAGCGTTGATCACATGTCGAAAAAAGTTAACTGCGTGTAAAAAAACGTGTCAGAGCGTATCAGAGAGTTGACCACGTGTTCCAAAATATTGACCATGTGTCGGACGCGTGTCGGAGCGTGTCCGTCACACATAATTCACAAAAAAGAACGAGTCCATGTTTCAGAGCTTTTATCATGGCTAAACTACATTTTTGTTTAAAATTTATTAATTAATTAACCAATAACTTATTTTGACAAAAAAGTTGTTACCCGTTAACCTGATAAATGTTGATAATTAATATCGGGCTCTCTATCAACTAATGAACGGAAGTGTAACATTTGAATATAGAAATATTAAAAATGATGAGTTACAAACAAAAATTTGTTCAAATAATACGAAGTTAGTTGTTATGAGCAAGTAGGGTGTTAAACAAGCCAGGGGCCTTTGGCTTGGCTCGTGAAGGCCTGAGCTTACATGTCTAAAATTTATTGTTGGACCCAGGCTTGGACTTGTATAAAAGCTCGTTTAATAAAAAGACCTCATGCTCCAATTCAAAAGCTCGGTCTTAGAGCCTCTCAGGCTTGCCAAATATTTTTTTTTAATTTTTTATACTACTTGTGATAGCCCTCTCTCTCTTCTCAATTTATTTCATCCCATTTTATTAATTAAACAGACTTTATAAATGATTTTATTTTATATTATTCTATTTGGATATATATTAAATTTATGAATATTTATGGAATTACTAGTGCTGTTGATTGTATATTTTGTTTGGATAATTATTATTGTCTTATTTTTTTTAAACAGGCTAACAGGCTAAACAAGACTTTTATTTTTTGTAAATGAGCCAGGCCACAGGCTGATATTATATTCGTAACAGGTAACAGACTAAGGCCAGTTTGACACATTTGATCACAGGCTCGGCCCGTTAAGACCAAAGCTCGGCTCGACTCGGCTCGTTAACACCCCTGTGAGCAAGCAAGCACCGACACGCGTTTGATATTTGGGGACACCGGTCAACTTTTCGACACATTTTTTCGACACGCAGTCAACTTTTTTCGACACGCGGTCAATGCTCAGACACTTTTTTTTTTAATCTTAGTTTTATTTTATTAACTAAATATAAAAAAATTAATTTATAAATTAATTTTTTTCTATTATGAAATTTGACATAAAAAATTAACAAAGTCGAAAAATTATTTTTATTTTTATTTATGTTATGAAATTTAAATATTTGATTAGTTATATGACTTATTATGGACTGTCATATGTATTAAATATAAATTATATTATATATATTAAAAAATTTATTTAATATCAAAACGTGTCCCGACGTGTCAAAATATGATATTTTTTAGAATTAACGTGTCGGCGTGTCGTGTCTCGTGTCCCTGTCGGTGCAGGCTATGAGTTTGACAGCGATTAATTTGAATGAATTGGGGAATCGATAAATGGGTGGATATATAAAAAAGAAAAAAAATTAATGAATTGACAAAGACAATTATATTGGGTGTATAATGTGTGAAATAAAAACAGGAAAAATAAAGCGATAATAATTCATAACTACCATAAACGAAAATAATTCTTAACTGCCGTTGTTGTTCTGGAATAGAATAGATATATAGCAACATCAGCCCATGATGACAAGAAATTAGAACTAATAATTAGGTAAATGCCACCTCAAATACATACATGATATGGTTGAAACTTATTTCTTTTCTCCTATATTTGGATTGTTTCTCTCATCAAACATACAAACGCGACAACATTTAAGTCAAAAGAAAAAAAGGAAAAACCACGACAATCATACAAAAAAAAAAAATTGAATCAGAGGGAAGAAAATATGGATTCTGGGGTGAAATGTTTTGTAGTATCGCCCAGTAATAGTCAGTTCTGGCAAACTGAAAACATCCTAAATTCAAAGCTCGCCATTCTCTCCGTCCAAATTGGATACGTCGTATTGTTTTCTCGTCTCTTCTACTTTATCTTAAAACCCCTCCATCAACCTCGTCTTATTGCAGATATCTGTGTAAGTATATATATGTAAATGTACAACTTGATTTGTTTAAAGTACAATTTTTTTTTAATTTTTTTTTTTCTAATTTGTCATTCTAATAATTTGTGGGGGTATTCTAAATTTTAAATATGTAGGCGGGTTTCTTACTTAGGGCAACATTACTAGCGGGATTCCCACAAATTTATAAATTCATATATCCAATGAATGGGGTCTTTAATGTGGAAGTCCTGTGTACCATTGGTATCATTTTCTATGCATTCCTCAGTGGTTTGGAGATGAACTTAAATACCATTCTACACGTACAAAAAAAGGCTGCAAGCATAGCCGTTGCCGGGATAATCTTTCCCATGGTTATGGCACCAGGTTTATATGCTCTATATCGAAAATTTCATGTCATTAGTGATCTATATAGCCTTGAAGGAAGTACAGTTCAAGCCTATCTATTTTGGACTTTAGTTCTCACGGTTACAGGTTTTCCAGTCATTGCACACACCCTTTCTGAGCTCAAACTCCTTTATACTGGTCTTGGCAAAGCCGCTTTAATAGCTGGCATGATTAGTGATACTTATAGTTGGATTCTATTCACATTATTGGTTCCATTCACAATTAATGGTCCTAGAGCCATCTACTCAGTGCTAAGTACCATGTTATTCATTGTTTTTCTCGTCTTTGTATTACGTCCTATCATTGTAAGGTTTATTGATCGCAAGACAGATAAGGATGAATGGGATTATGATCAATTACTGTTTGTGATCATGGGGGTTGTAGCTTGTTCATATATTACTGATATTCTTGGCACACATGGCATTGTTGGAGGTTTTGTGTTTGGATTAATTTTACCTCATGGTAGATTTGCGGACTTGGTGATTTCAGTTGCTGATGATTTTGGTGGTGGGTTTCTAGCACCACTCTTCTTTGCTGGTAGTGGATTGAGATTAGGGTTGCCAATCATTATTAACCAGGCGAATTGGCCAATGACACTGCTTATCGTGCTCTTGTTATGTGTCCCAAAGATTCTAAGCACTTTATTTGTCACTTCTTTCTTTGGTATGCGCACTCGAGATGGTTTAGCACTTGGATTACTTCAGAATACAAAGGGCGCAATTGCACTCATAATGCTAAACATTTCTTGGGATAGAAAGGTATTGATTTATTTATTTGAATCATGGCATTTAACTTACCTAAATTCTTTAATATATTACTCAATTAAACAACAGCAATTAATTTAATCTATGTAATCTTTTAACTTGTTATCGCAGATTGTTTCTGTACCAACCTTTACTGTTCTTCTCTCTGGTGTTCTTCTCATGACTGTAATAGTGTCTCCCGTCATCGATCTCGTCTTCAAGCCAAGAAAGAGATTTGAGCAGAACAAGTTAAAGACTGTACAAAAGCTAAGAGCAGATTCAGAGCTCCGAATTATGGCATGCGTCCACAATACCCGCCATGCCTCTGGCATGGTCAAAATCATTGAATCTTTTAATACCACCAGAGTTTCACCAATACATGTTGTTGCCCTTTACCTTGTTGAACTTACAGGACGTGGTGCTGCCCTTGTCGCTGCCCATATGCACAAGATTAGTAGCCATCCCGGAGAACAGAATCTGACCAGAACACAGGCAGAGTTAGAAAGCATCACCAATACCTTTGAAGCATTTGGACAGTCATATGATGCTGTGAGAGTCGAGACCTCAAATGTTGTGTCAGACTATGCAACCATTCATGAGGACATATACAATGCAGCAAATGAGATAGGCACAAGCTTAATTGTTCTTCCATTTCACAAACATCAAACTTCAGAAGGTGCGCTTGAAACAACCAATGTATTGTACAAAGATATAAACCAAAATGTAATGCAAGGTGCACCTTGTTCTGTGGGAATCTTTGTTGATCGTGATCTTGGGTCAGTGTCCAAAATGAACATGCGGGTTATTATGATCTTTGTTGGAGGGCCTGACGATCGTGAAGCCTTAGCTGTTACATGGAGGATGGCAGGGCATACAGGAATCAAACTATCAGTGGTTCGGATTCTTTTGTTTGATGAAGTTGCAGAAGTAGACACTTCAGTTCAAGATGATGCAAGAGGGATGTTATCTTCTGTAATGGATAATGAGAAGCAGAAGGAGGTGGATGATAAGTATATAAATTCATTCAGACTTAAGGCAGTGAACAATGATGATTCTATATCCTACTCAGAGTTTGATGCACATACCGGTGAAGATATTCCAAAAATTCTCAACGAGCTAGAAAAAACTGGCTGCGATTTATACATAGTTGGACAAGGGAATTGTAGGAACTCTAAGGTCTTGTCAAGATTATTGGAATGGTGTGATTGCTTAGAACTTGGACTTATAGGGGATATGTTGGCATCAACCACTTTTGGTTCACGCTCATCTTTGCTAGTTGTGCAACAATATGGGTATGGAGGCATGGTTTTTGGAAAGCAAGAAAACCACAAGGCCACTAATAATGAGGGCTTTAAGCAGCTTGTTGTGAAGACTGAATGAGGATTTTAAGTCACCACTGCATGTGAGAAAGACAAAGTTAAGCTATGTGGAGAGGGATGTGTATGAGTTCATTTCGCATGTGAACTTTCTCAAGAGATATATAAAACTATTAATGTAGCCTCATCCAACAGTTTAAGCTTTTGAGTTGAAATGATTCTTTACATGGTATCAGAGCCTTGATATCACGAGTTCAATCCTCACCACCCCTCACTTTCTTTTGTGAAATTTCTTAGCACAGGTAGATGAGCTTGTGCACCATCCAATTTTCATGCCCAATGAGCTCTCTTGTGAAAGGACGAGTTAGAGATATATAACACCACTACTGTAACCTTACCCAACATCTTAAACTTTTGGTTGCAATGGTTATTTCCAAACTTAAAACAAAGGATCCCCTCTCCATGCAAGCTATTTAGGAAAGCTAATGGGTTAACTTCAAGTTTATATGATTTTGTCGAAAAATTTGATTTATTCATTTTTTATTTTTTGGATTCATTCCCGCCTGATCATAACATGGTTAATTGTAACATCCCAAGAGCTGGCAAGGGCAGGGAGTAATCGCCGGTGCGAAAGGGCACGAACAATGAGCGGCTCATGCCAAATCTTGCAGCTTGGGGGTTCATGAATGAATCGAATCAACACCCGAAAGAGAGGGATTCCAGAGACTGTGCTGGTATGGGACGGTACAGTTAGGAACGACTTATAAGAATTAATTGGTACTACCTATACTAACAAGATGCATCTACTTTTCGGTAACCCGGATCGGAAGAACTCCACAGTTAAGCGTGCTTGACTTGGAGCAATTCTGAGATGAGTCACTTCCTGGGAAGTTTTTCCGGGAAGTGTGCGAGTGAGGACAAAGCACACTGAAAAGTTTCGTGTTAGTGTGTGGGGACAGTCATTGATTCTTGCAAGTGACCGGACGTTACATTAATGCTCAGGCCAAAATTAAGTAAAATGTGTAAATATAGACTTTGTGCATTTTAAAGTCATAAAATTTGAATAACACTTTATGTTAGTCCTAAAAAAAAAATATGATTTATCATTTTAGTTCTTTTAAAGTAAATTCTATTAATTATTCCTTAATATCTGTAATTTTCCATACTCTGTTTATTTAGATTTAACTTTTACATCTTTTCTATAATGTTAAAAGATTATATATGTTAAACTAAGACAAATAGCGTAAAACGATATTATTTTCGAATTTTACACTTTTCTTTGAACTTTTGTGTATGTATAATATTCTATTCTGTTTTAGAGTATATCCAAATAAATACAACCAAATGATGGGCTCCAATTCTTAATTGCAAATTGGTTAAAGCTTATGAATGTAATGTCGTGAATATAAGATGAGGTGGTGCCGCATTTCCTAAGCTACATGATAAGAATAAGTTTATGATCCAAATTTTAGTACTTGAAATCGAAAATAGAGGGACGAAATTGGTTCCGCGCGCGTTGTTCCACAAGCAAGCCATGTTTACCAGAGAACATACTATAAAGTTATTTCACACGTGTTTGCTTTTATGAAATGCATTTTGCTCTAACTGGCTAAGTTAGATATTTTATTTGAGAAAAAAAATTAGATAAATAGATGTTATAAAATATAATTAATATATCATAAATAACGGGCTACATTACATAAAATGAACCTGCATATTGATTTATTTTTTTTATTTTCAAAAAACTCACCGTGGATTTTGAATTGATCAAACAATTAATTAACTCCCTCGCAATATAAAATTACAACAATTATTATTCCTGAGAGAGGATCCAAATTCTGTTCCAAATGGTTTTTCTGTTCGGCTCAAACGCCATCTCCAGAAGACTACAGTGTATTCATGCACTGGCACATTTGATTTTGATTATTAGTTGATTTTGTTAAATCCGTTTCGATGGTATCCAAATTTCTTGGAGGGATGAAGTGATATATTATTATCTGTTAATTATTTTTTATAATTCTGAGGATCGCGAATGTATGTTTGAAGGTCAACGATTAATATAGGATCTTGGTACTCACGGTGGTTTATGGAAGAGACGCCGCAAAGCGGCCGAATGTGTGGGTTATGTTCAATATGATTGAGAAGATGTATCTAATGCATGGGAGTCAACCTCTCCAATCTAATATGGATTGATGGTTTTATCCTAGTGTGTTATTAATGTTGTTATTAGTAGATAGGATTAACCCTTTCTTTCGCTAATGTATGGTTTAAATCTCCATGTTTGGGAAAAGGAATATTTGCAAAGCTTAATTAATTGGGTTGGCTACATATTCTGATCTCACATTGAAATAATGCATAGATTAAATGTCAATATTTGGGAAAAGGAATATTTGCAAAGCTCCATATATTAAACATTTCCTAATTAAACAAGGAACAATCTAAAGCATGAAAGAAATATCCATTGGTCATCTATAAATATACACTGCAAAAAAAAAAATGTTATTTAGCCACGTTTAAAAATGTGACAAACATTGATAAAAAATGTGAAAAACAAACTTTACCATATTTTGATTAAATGTGGCTAGAAGTGGTGTTGCAATAATTTAACCTCATTATTTTATTCACTTTGTCACATTTTGACTGAGCGTGGTAGCCTTATTTTAGCCATAATTAATGTTAATTTAATCATTTTATAAATGTGGCTAAAATGTATAGTTTGCCACAATTAAAAAATGTGGTTAATTATGTCTGAAAAAAATTTAGCCACATTAATGAGTGTGGATAAATATATGAAATTCTTTTTTAAATTAAAAATATTTTAGATTTAATAAATATTACATCTATAAAGAAAATAATATTAAAAATAGCTCAACTGCAAAATAGTGAACACGGTAAAACGTGAACCAAACTCCAAACTCTATATCCAATTTTAGAGAAGCAAGTCTTTTTATTGATATCATTGAAGAATTTGTACAAGACATTAAGTTTTAAGTTCATACGAGCTAATCAAATTTTCTACTAATATTGCATAAGGGAAATAATTGCCAAACAAAACTATTAAGAAGTTTGCCATGGAATGTGTATACAAAAAATCATCTTTTGTGTAATTATGTGCATCCTAGTTCTTTAAAGTGTTATCTACTCTATCACACCTGCACACACAAAAAAAAAATAGCTTGATGATAAGAAAGAAATGAAACACAATTAATATTGCACGGTGTTATAAGAAATGAAACAGTTCACACTGGTGTTATAGATCAATGGGTCAAATTAAGTAGCAAAAAAACTAAATGGACATAAATCAACTCACATAACAGAGTAAGGGAAATTTCTCATTTTATCTATAAATAACATTAATAAATGGTGCATTTAAGCAGTGAACAAATCATTATCTGCAATAAAGTATATCATAATATGCAAGGATCCAACATTTATGATCAATTTATCGTATTATATCAGATATACATAAGGTTAAATGTAATCAATTGTAACAAAGAAGGTAAAACATTTTGATTGAAAGTAGCTAACTCACTTCCAAATTTATCTAGTAAAAATTTGTGAAGACAAACCAATTGCTTTTAAGTTTGCACAAGCTACTCTTTGGTCTCTTCATATCCTACATTTATCTCTTTATATCCATCCAGCTTTATTTCCAAAGATTTTACATGTTTCTTTAAGTCTTCAACACATTGTTGACTTGAGATACCAAAATTGACAAAACCAATAGACCGTCTAGGCATTCCAAAAACATTGGAAGGGCAAAGACTAGTGCCTAAGCCATGCACCTGACCTTAAGGCTCAGCTCCATATACTTTTTCAATAGCATCATCAGGATAAGTAATACCTTTGATGCAACACCTAAAGAGGCAGCACGCTCTTGATCTAGAGATAGGTGCTCTGTGTAACATCTCCGTCTCGAGCCGGTTCAATTAACATACATACGATACTAAACAGAAACTGCGAAAGACTTAACTTACGAAAATACGAGCTAACTTTTTCTTTGTCTTTAATCCTTTTTCACATGATATATCACATTGCATACTTCTCCTAGTTAATTCTTATTTGACAAAGACGAAAATCGAACAGAGTAACCTCTGTAAATCGGACAACTGAGGATTTGCAAATCTCACTCTCAAGGTATCCTGATAAACAGTTTACCACTAGACCACACATTGGGATTCAAACTTGAGTTCCTTTGTTTGAGGATCGGAAGGATTACCACTAGACTACTTTTATTTGTTGGACATAATGTTCATAATTTAATATTTATTATATATTATTTTGAAATCCGACTGAACAACTGGCCCAGTGACGAGATACTTCAACCGAGTCAATGACTGGTCCTAGTTTTAAAACATTGGTCATGACTTATTTTCTCTCTCATCATTAGGAATATTTCTTACCCATATATACTCATTTTCACCTAATGAAGAAGCATATGCCCTCTACATATTCAGCCTTTCTCAGTCATCTCTGAGATATACATATAGTGACTCTCTCGAGAGTTTCAATCCATATCATTGTCTCTAAGAGCACCTCCACACAAAATACTTCATTTTTTTTTTGAGGGATACGGACCTAAATTCTACATTAATAGTTCAAAACCTATGTCGATTAGAGTTAAAGCAATTGTAATTTAACGTGTACTAAGTAGTTAATTAACTAGTTTAAGAAAAAAAAGTTATCAATCCATTAACCAGATAAATGTTGATAATCAATAATTGACTCTTTATAATCTAATAATGGAATATGAAAGATAACGGGTTGACAAATGACAGTAATTGGTAACAGCCATTTTGTTGCGCTAGAAGGGATATATATCAACATAAGCCAGGAATAGGAAATTAGAACTAATAATAAGTCAAATGCCACCTCAAATACATACACATGGTTGCAACTTATTGTTAAATGCCACCTCAAATACATACACATGATTGCAACTTATTGTTTTCTCTTATATTTAGATTGTTTCTTAGAAGAATTGGGCAAAGACCAAATCTAGGCCACTTGAATAGAGACCCTTTCTTCGTAAGAAAAAAAAGAATATAACATTTATAAAGAGAAACAACTAATAAAAATTGAATCAGAGGGAAGAAAATATGGGGGGTTTTCAGCCGCCGCCAGTATGTTATGAAGTATCCGAGCCTAGTCCTGCTCAATTCTGGCAAACTGAAAACGTTCTGAATTCCAAGCTCCCCATGCTCGCTATTCAAATTGCTTACACCGTATTGGTGTCTCGTATTTTCTTCTTTCTCTTAAAACCCCTCCATCAACCTCGTCTTATTTCACATATCTCCGTAAGTATATATATAAATTAAATGTACTAGTTGAATTTAAGAAAAATTGTTTCTCCTGTAATAAAGTTAAAGTTATCTCCAGTAATAAATTCTTTTGGGAAAATTAATGAAGGATAGTATAAAAAAAAATTATTGTATCTTTGTTATATGAATTTCAACAAAATATTCTTGATTAATTCTCCTTAAAATGACAAGAAACGATAAACCCTTACGATAAATAATCACGAAATTTTTTTAATTTTGTCATTCTAATAATTTATGGTTATCTTAAATTTAAACATGTAGGTTGGCTTTCTACTGAGTCAACATTTACTTGGAAGATTCCCATCTGTTTTCAATCTCCTTTATCCGGTACATGGAATCCTTAATGTCGAAGTGTTGTGTAACATTGGTGTCATCTACTATTCATTCCTCAGTGGTTTGGACATGAACTTAGATACCATTCTATACGTAAAAAAGAAGGCTGCAAGCATCGCCGTTGCTGGGATCATCTTTCCCACAGTGATGGCACCGGTCTTCTATGCTCTCCATCGAAAATTTTATGTCGGCACTGGTATATATAGCCTTGAAGATAGTACATATAATGCTTATTTACTTTGGACTTTAGTTCTCACGGTTACAGGTTTTCCAGTACTTGCTCACACCCTTTCTGAGCTCAAGCTCCTTTATACTGGTCTTGGCAAAGCTGCTTTAACAGCTGCCATGATTGGTGACACTTATAGTTGGATTCTTTTCACATTGTTGGTTCCATTTTCAATTATTGGTCAAAGAGCCATCTACTCAGTGCTCAGCACCATGTTATTCATTGTTTTCTGCATCATTGTGTTACGTCCTACGGTTGTAAGGTTTATTGATCGCAAGACAGATAAGGATGAATGGGATTATGATCAATTACTCTTTGTGGTGATGGGGGTTTTCGCTTGTTCATATATTACTGATATTCTTGGCACACATGGCATTGTTGGGGCCTTTGTGTTTGGATTAATTTTACCTCATGGCAGATTTGCCGACTTGGTGATGTCAATTTCAGATGATTTTGCAGGCGGTTTTCTGGCACCGCTCTTCTTTGGTGGCAGTGGAATGAGACTTGGGGGGTTGCCTATGATTTTTTACCAGGCGAATTGGCCATTGACACTTCTGGTAGTGCTCTTTTTATGTGTCCCAAAGATTCTAAGCACTTTATTTGCAACTTCTTTCTTTGGTATGCGCACTCGAGATGGTTTAGCACTTGGATTGCTTCAGAATACAAAGGGCGCCATGGCGCTCATAATGCTAAACATTGCTTGGGATAGATCGGTATTGATCTATTTGAAACATCATATTAGTCAAGTTCTGTAATTATTTACACAATAGCAATTTGATTTATAAGTTCTTGTAATGTGTTATTGCAGATAATTTCTCCACCAACCTATTGTGTTATTGCATCTGGTGTTCTTCTTATGACTGTAGTGGTGTCTCCCATCATTGATATCATCTACAAGCCAAGAAAGAGATTTGAGCAAATCAAGCTAAGGACTATACAAAAGCTAAGAATTGATGCAGAGCTTCGAGTTTTGGCATGTGTCCACAATACTCGCCACGCCACCGGCATGATCAGAATCGTTGAATCTTTTAATGCTACAAGACTTTCCCCAATATATGTCTGTGCCTTGCAACTTGTTGAACTTACCGAGCGTGGTGCTGCCCTTTTTCCTGCTTACATGCAAAAGTCTAGTGGCCAATCCGGAGCACAAAATCTGTCCAGAACACAGGCAGAGTTAGAAAGCATCACCAATACCTTTGCAGCATTTGGACAGTCATATGATGCTGTGAGAGTTGAGACCTCAAATGTTGTGTCAGACTATGCAACGATTCATGAGGACATATACAACTCATCAAAAGAGAAAGGGACAAGCTTAATTCTTCTTCCATTCCACAAACATTTAAGTTCAGTAGGTATGCTTGAAACAACAAGTATTGTATACAAAGATATAAACCAAAAAGTAATGCAAGGTGCACCTTGTTCTGTGGGAATCTTTGTTGATCGTGATCTTGGGTCAGTGTCAAAAAAGAAGTTGCATATACTTATGATCTTTGTTGGAGGGCCTGACGATCGTGAAGCCTTAGCTATTGCATGGAGGATGACAGGGCATCCAGGAATCAAACTATCAGTTGTTCGGATTCTTTTGTTTGATGATGCTGCAGAAATAGACACTTCATTTCGCGAAGAAGCGAAAGAGATATTACTTGCTGTAATGGATAGGGATAAACAAAAAGAGTTAGATGATGAGTACATAAGTGGATTTAGACTTAGAGCAGTGCCCAATGAGGATTCTATATCCTACTCAGAGATTGATGTTCATAGTGGTGAAGATATTCCTGTCGTCCTCCGAGAGCTAGAAAAAATTGGCTGCGATTTATACATAGTTGGACAAGGGAATTGTAGGAACTCTCATGTCTTCTCAAATTTATTGGAATGGTCTGATTGCTCAGAACTTGGAGTTATAGGAGATATTTTGGCGTCAAACTATTTTGGTTCGCGGTCATCATTGTTAGTTGTGCAACAATATGGGTACGGAGGAATGGATTTTGGAAAGCGTCACAATCACATGGCCACTGATAATGATGGCTTTGGGACGCCTATCGTTTAGACAAAATAAGGGCTTTAAGTCACCAAAACATTGTTAGAAATACACGAGTTAAGCTATTTTATTTTAAGGATAGGATCCGTTTACAAACTTTTTTTTGCAAATTACACTAAGTACGACCGGTCGTACACTGCATGATTAAAGTATGACCGATCGTACTTAGTGTAGTTTGTAAGAGTTTGTAAACAAAAAAATTTGTAAATATAACCTGCTCCTTTATTTTATTAGTAGAATGAAAATTTTAGATTAGTGAAATACCACCAACTTTGTCTAGCATTTATGGTGGGATTACATATCCTTTATGGGATAAATATGAATCATGTTGCAGGTACAAAATTAGTGTCATTCAACTAGTACAGACAAGATAAAATCATTGAATATTGTGCCTCTTCAACTTTTTTTATTATTATTTAACTTGTCTTTTCTTTGTAGGGACAAAAAATTTAATCCTCTCACGTGATGAATCCAAAGCCCATCCTTTATTGGAAGAAACATGGGAATCGAACTCAAGCCATAAGTAATATACCATTTGTTTCAGCCCTCAATAACATTGAGTTATGCTTTTAATGCATTTTTCTGGAACAATGACCAATGTACCACACATTGGTCACGTTTTTACCAGTATGCCACGCAAACAGTAATATTTGTCAAAATGCCATATGTCCGAGTTTGCTACAGCAGGCAACGAACTCGGTTTGCTGATGTAGCATGTTTCTGGTGGCCACTTAGTTCGCTACTAGATGTAGCGAATTAAATGACAATTAATACCCCACATGTGGCAGTGTTATAGAAGTTTGCTAGAGGTGATAGCGAACTAAGTAAAATTAGCTATGTGTTTGACACACATAAATTCGCTACACTAAGTAGCGAACTATGTACAACCTTGGACATTTGAAAAATGCAGTTCATTGGTACAATAATTGCTGTATGGTAATTATTGTTGTTTAGAAAGTTGTGTCCTGAGTGTCAGAAATATAGGTCTCACATTTTCACCTTCTATTTATATATATTTTTAAGTAACATTTTCACAATATTCAAGGTTGTTTACAGGTTGCACATAGTTCGCTACTTAGCGTAGCGAACTTGTGTATGCCAGACACATATTTTATGGTTATTTTTACTTAGTTCGCTATTACCCTTAGCGAACTTGTATGACACTGTTATATATTCTGATTTTGTCAGAGCAGAGGGGTATTAATTGTCACCTAGTTCGTTATACCCATTAGCGAACTAGTTGGCCACCAGAAACACGCCACATCAGCAAACCAAGTTCGCTGCCTGCTGCAGCGAACTTGGACATGTGGCATTTGGGCAAATATTACTGTTCGCATGGCATACTGATAAAAAAGTTACCAATGGGTGGTACATTGGTTGTTGTTCCCATTTTTCTTCGTGTAAAAATAGTGGACGTATAGTGGGAAAACCATGAAATGTTAAGGTCAATGCTATTACAAGAAGATAGATGTATATGAGTTCATTGGGCCAGTGAATACCCAAGCATATGAAGCAAGAATCTCACGGTTTGTAAGCTTAATAAAATGTAACGCCCGGTCACTTAAAGAATTAATGATTATCCCCACACACTAACACGAGACTTTTCAGTGTGCTTTTATCCTCACTCACACGCTTCCTGGGAAAACTTCCTAGGAGGTCACCAATCCCAGAATTACTGCAAGTGAAGCATGCTTAACTATGGAGTTCTTTAGTTCCGGACTACCGAAAAGTAGATGCATCTTATCAATATAGGTAATACAAATTAATTCTTATAAGCTATCCCAAGATGTGCAGTCTCATACCTGCACAGTCTTTGGAATCTCTCTCTTTCGGGTGTCGATTCGATTCATTCATGTAATCCCCCGCTGGAAGCCTGTCAGGAGCTGCTCCTTGTCTATGTCCTTTCGCACCTGCAATCACTTCCCGCCCTTGTCAGCGCCCGGGATGTTACATGCGCACCAACTTCCGCCTGGTTCGTCCTCGAACCACACCGTACTGGGAGAGAGACCCTGCTCTGATACCACTTGTAACGCCCGGCCGCTTCAAGAATCAATGACTATCCCCACACACTAATACGAGACTTTTCAGTGTGCTTTTATCCTCACTCACACACTTCCTGGGAAAACTTTCCAGAAGGTCACCCATCCCAGAATTACTGCAAGTCAAGCACGCCTAACTATGGAGTTCTTCCGTTCTAAGCTACCGAAAAGTAGATGCATCTTGTTAGTATAGGTCTCAGAAGCACGGACACACGAAATTTTTTACAAAATGTGTGTCAGACACCGACACGCTCCGACACGCAGTCAATATTTTGGGACACGCGATCAACGTTCTAACACATGGTCAACGCTCCAACACGCATCCGACAAATTTTTTTTTTAGGTCTAAATTTTATTTTATTAACTAAATATGAAAAATAATTTATAAATTAATTTTTTTTTGTTATGCAATTTGACATGAAAAATTAACAAGATATGAAAAATTAACAAGATATGAAAAATTATTTTTATTTATATTTATGTTATGAAATTTGAATATTTGATTGGTTATATGACTTATTATGGGTTGTTATATGTATTTAATATAAATTGTATTATATATATTAAAAATATTATTTAATAGTCATTTTATGACAATTTTTAGAATTAACGTGTCGGCATGTCGTATTGTGTCGTATCGTGTCGTATCCCGTGTCAGTGTCGGTGCAACATAGGTATAGGTAGTACCAATTAATTCTTATAAGCTATCCCAAACTGTACAGTCTCATACCGGCACAGTCTTTGGAGGGACAATGACCATATTGCCACATTTTAGGCAAAATTTACCGGATTGCCACGCTAGGAAAAAAAATTGTCAAAATGCCACGTCACATTCTCGCTACGCCACCCAACGAGAATGGACTGGACACGTGGCAGCGCCTGCATGGTCAACCATTCTAGCTGAGCAGCCAAGTATGGCGGAGCTCAAGCCAAGTAAGGTGTCCCTTACAATATTATCATCTGAACCAAATCTTTGTGGGTCAGTTCACATGAGAATTTTACAGTTAAAATTTACACATTCATTTGGTTCCAAAATAATTACTGATTTTATAACCAAAATCATAGAAATAAAATTAAAAGATAAAACTAAAGATAAAAATAAAATAGAATAAAGTCAAGTAGAAAAGAACTCAAGAAGAATTTGACAGGGTGGCAGTACATTGCATAAAAATCCAACCTTAAACTATAAGAAGAAAAATAAGAGAATAAGTTAATCCATCAACATTACCTCTTTCTTTTCTTTTCTTTTCTTTTCTTTTCTTTTTTTCTTTACGTTCTCGTTATAATGACCCTAACTGGTAAATCTTAGTTAGAGATTTAATTTAAGGATTTAAATGTCATAATTAGATTCAGTGAGCGATTTCGAGTATTTTGACTGTAATCATGACTATGTTATGAACAGTGCGTTCTGCCGGAGAATTTACAGTTTTGTGAATTAACCGGTAGAGCTTAAATGAGTAAAATGATTTTAGAAACATAATTTGACAATTCTGACGACAAATATGAGTTCAGAACAAAAAATTGTATAGTCTGGCACTTTCCGTGAAAATCTCGTGAATAGTGTTTCTACCGGGTATTTTGTACTGCTGTTTAAGCAACCGGTAGAGTCCACAAGCAAATAATTGATGAAATAAGAATAAGAAAGTCCAATATATTCCAAACAAGTCAATATGGGCCCAAGAAAATGATAAGTTAATAAGTTCTAAGTTCAGAAGTAAACGAAGTACAGTTAGTGGTTCACAGTGCATTTCGTCAAAAACGGTGCAGAAACCATACTGTAAATTAAGAATATTATTCCTTAGGAAATAAAAATTATGTAAATGATTTTAGAAAAAATAAAAATATGTTTGTAGCCTTAAGTGAGTTCCGAGTTAATTTAAGTTAAAATACGTGATAGAAAAACATCCGATAAAAAGGGCAACATGTGCCTATATAGCCTTGTCACTTAAATGAATCACTATTCATTTCAGAATTTCTTCTTCTCTCTCTTGGATGGTCGAGCTGCACTTGACAGGGGGGGCTTAGGGTTTGGTTTTTTCTTTCTTTGATTTCTACATCATCCATCCACCAAATCCAATGACCCACCACATGAAATTGATTGGAAACCACTCAATGAATCCATTCCACCTATCCATTTGAGCTATAATTGAGTGTGTGAAGAGTTGTTCCTCCTCTCATTTTCGAGTTACTATTCATTGGAGGAGAAAAAATGAGTTTTTGATGGAGCTTGGCTTGGAGGTTGCTTTCTAGGCTTTGGGAAGTTGATTAGTGGTAAGAAACCTTTGTTTCCATGATGTTATTTTAATGGTTTGTGTCATAGAAATTGTGAGCATGTGTTGGTGTGAAATAAATTAGTTTAAAATTTGAATTGATGATGGATTGATGATGTGTTGGATATAGGAATGTGGAATAAGCATATGAACATGTATAAAAAATTGAAAAAAAATCCCATGGTGACATACGCTAGATTTCGGCCTTGATAGGGTAATTAGGGGTGATGTGCAAAGATTTATTGTTTGTATTGGGAATGTTTAATGTGCTTGAATATGAGGAAATTTGATGAGTTAGTAAGAATGTTAAATTTGAAAGAAAATCCTTTGAAACCTACCCTTGATGTTTCGACCTTGAAGGATTTAAAGGGCTTGAGATTCCCAAAAATTAAATTGTAACTTGTTATATATATATATATATATATATATATATATATATATATATATATACGTGTAGTTGTTAAATTAAGTGAGGAAAATGTATTGTAAAAGAAAAGGATCCTTGGAAATTCCCTTAAAGGATTCGACATATAGGGTGTTTAGGGAAAGATGTTGTCATATTTTATTTTAATAAAATATGTGTATTTCAAAGTATGAAAATGATAAGTCATCAAGTGAAATGGTTTGAAAAGAAATCATGGAAAAATATATTGATTTCCTAATTTTAGGCCCACGGTCCTTTAAAGTAAAATGCTATGAT